ACAAAAGCGAGAGAGTGGAAAAATGAGAAAAAAGTACAATCACAGAGGTGGTGAGACAAAACTCTCGCAGGTCCTTGTTCCCTGTGGTCCACTCCTCCCAGTTTAACAAGTCCCTTGCTCTGTCTCTTTCTCTTCTGTCCATATGCTGGAAGCTGGTTTGCTGTCCGCTATCCCATCCTGCCACTCTGCTTGCTCTTTTTCTCCCTTGGCGTCTCTGGGAAGCATTTGGAGTAAGATAGTGTCTCGAATTGTCAAGATCTATAGGGATCTTTGGAGATACTGGGTTCGGTATGAGCAGAAGAACTGGGACCCCTCAGTGGCCCCACCATCTCTGAAAAGACCTCTATAACTTTAGGTGGGGTGATACTCCCAAGATCAGAGGAAGAGGTCAACGTGCAGGTCCGTAGCTGCTACGATGTGGCAGATGGAATTCATTATAGAAGGAGCTCCCTGCTCCTGTAGGAGAATGCTGCGATGGCCAGTACTCCATGATTCATGAAAGTGGGAGTTTTTATTCTGTCTGAAATTCGCTCTGCCTCAGGAAAGATGGTATTTAGTGAGCGATGTTTATCTTTCCTATTTTTTTTTTTGCAACCGGCTCAGTCTTGGAAGTTAAACACATACATCTCCCGGCACTGGATTGCGTGGGTATCGCTCTTGGTATTACTCTCACGTTCTCTGGACGCATGCCAAGTGATCTACCAGTCTCCCTGAGGGTATTTTCCAATAAAGCCTGAGGGACTTCATTGCAGCCACCCTGGTTCAAATCAAAGGCATAGCGGTGCTGCTTTGTATTCAGAAGCACAAGAAACATATTTTTCAAAGTGGAGTCAAATTCTGCTCAGCGGTTCGGCATGAAAACGGCCTTCGCCGTTCTTCGCCATGCAAGCCTGTTCCCGAACTCTTCCCGTCAGCAGCTTGCCACCCTTCAAAACTTGTTGCTGTCTGTGTTTATATATGTGTTTACGTTCAAGGCCCGTGATGGAGTGAGGAATGACATGAAACAGACCGAATGCAACAGAAACCTAAAGTGAAACAAATGTCAGAAAGGATCTGCAGGCAGGGAAACTCAACAACCGCAGCGGCAGAGCAAAAAAGCAGGAACAGCCTGGGGCGGGGGACGTTTGACTGTTTTGGGGGGATTTTGTGTTTTGCGTTCTGTTGTCAGTCTTCATCATTAACGTTTTCATGTTGTTTCCAGCGAGAAACAGTTTCACTCGTGGTGCGTGTTCAGGCGCACCTCAGTGTATTCCCTGCCAACAGTAGACTGCACAGCCTTGTACATCACAAATTTTATTCCCCACCACCCCTTGATGACTCTCGGTCTTGCTTAATCAAAGTTATTTTAGCACAGCTATAAGCTCTAAGGATCTACTTAGTTGAGATAAAAGCCAGTTTAAGAATATACCAATACCTTCAGTCATGCAGAACTGGTATGAAATGTTAGCCTTTTATTGCAGAACAGGAGGACTCTGCGGCAGAGAACACAATTTAATTTTATTACTGGGGTGACACTATAATGAAAGTCTAGAGGGCAAGGAGCAAAACGTACTAAAAAAGAACATAAAATGTAGTTAGCAGTATACTTATACTTTAAAAAAAAGCATCTTTCCAGGCTCACAGTAGTCCACACATGGCTGTTTGTTCTCCATCTGCAGCCTGGGGTCTGTGCACAAAGCAGGTTACAGGCTGTGCATGCTTGTGGCTCTCAGGGCTGGCTCAGGAAACTGCAGCACAGCGCAGCAATGGTCAGGGGAGACATTGGCTTTAAGAGAAATAGCCTCTCTGCCACCTCCCCCAGCCCTGTCAGATACGGTATCTCCCTGACAGCTAGGGTCCCTGCATCTCAGGACACAGCCAGCTGGGCCGGGAACTGTGGTGCTGGAATATGACTACCAGTCTCACCACAGATCAGCACAAGATGGGGTGGCCACCGGGCTGCTGTTCTCATCCCATCCACCTGCACAGAACAGGGCTCCACTGAGAAGCTCCGTATTGTTCGGATCTGGCCAGGACAAGCTGGAGACACAGGCCAGGTGCGAGTGAGTTCAGCAAACCCATAGGCATACAGCACGTGGACAAACCTGCCCCTGGTCAGACAGGGAAGAGGACAGCAGTGTACGAGTGGCTACAGCTCCCAGCTGCAGGCTGTCAGTCAGAGGCTCTCAGTATGATCCTCAAGAGAGAGAAAAGCGTGTTGCTTCCCCACCCAGCTGACAGTTCTCCCTGGCTGTAGGGCCCCAGGTACTGTATGTGACAAGCTGTCAGATGCAGGAGACTCTGAACACTGATGCACCTCCACACAGCTCTGTTCACCAAGGTGCCCCACTGGAGCCACTGGGCTCACAGCCCAAGATACTGCAAGTGTTTTGGAGAAAGCTATTTCTGCACAGAGTGCGTCGCTGCTTAATTTGATTTTGAGGAGAATTCCCAGTGAAAGGCTAATTAAATTAATTTGGGCAAAATAATTGTAGAGAGCATCTAAAATGTAGAGAACACTCTAGAGAGCTTGTGGGGAAAAAAAAACGCATTTCAGCAGTGAAAACAACTCCTTTTTAATTTCTTTCCCATTCCGCAGCCTGTTTTTACACAGGAGTAAAGCAGTGAGTCAGCATGCAAGGGTATCTATGAATTATTTGGGTTATGCAGAAATATGAAGCCCATCATGTTTCACTGGTTTCATATTGGATTAGTTATGAGATATTAAACTAATAGCTGACACCCAATTCTTAGAATATGACAGACCAGAAAATGCATTTAAAAGCCTGCCGGTGTGGCTTCTTCTCGGCTTTCATGGCTGGGTAGTTAGAGCTCAAAACATTTGAACACATTTGAGCATATGTCTGAAAACAGAACGAGCACAGCTTGTTGGAGAAATGTATTTGTAAGACATTCGAACAGTGCTTTCTATTTCTGGGGGGAAAAAAAAATCAATGCTTGCCATTTCTGATTCTACACAAATCCATTCCAGAGAGGCATCCCTTTGAGGGACGCTGTTAAACAGTGTGCTGTGGGTGGCTCACTCTGTACAGCGGGCAGCTTGTGAAGACCGAAGGGAACGAAATGTTCTGTGTGAGATACAGAGTCTTGGTCCGCTGGTGTGGAAATTGTTAGGAGTCCCGTTGTGCTGAAAGCGAGCGAAGGAAAAACTTCTCCGTGGATAACAAAAGAGTTGCTGATAAGAGGCTTTTGTGAGTGGGGTGACTTTTTAGGAGAGTTAAACTTGCAGTACCAGAAGGTTTTGTGGCTAACCACTGAGGTCCAAAGGATTAACCCCAGGCTGAAACCGGGTCCAGTAAGGTTCTCAGCTCACAGGTGTACCGGACACCTACAGTGCTCTGGTGCTGGATCACCGCCTTAGGGAAGTCAGGCCAACTAGACTCGTGGGTAGTTTATCATCCTTCACTAGCATGTCGGGAGGAATGGTTTTGAGCTGTGCATACAGTATATCAGTCTTATGAGGATAACACATGCAGAGAGAACACATGGCCAGGAGCAGAGGGAGAGAGGACAGTGTGGAAGAGGCGTTGGGAGTATCGCAGTGAACGAAACAACTCTACTAATCTGTATTTGTTATCAGGGGGGTCATCTGGTAATGACGCTAGCTAAATTGCCCTCAATGGCGAATGCACTGATGGCGTTCAAACCATTGATCCAGGCTTTATACAGACAGCAGTACACTAATGATATTCACAGAGGCCAAGATGCTGTCTTCGATAACCTTGTCCCGTGAGGGACTTTTTAGTTGTTGCTGTTTTTAATTATCTAAAAGCTTTGATATCTAGATCTGCTGCTGGAGACCCAAGCGTCTGCTTGCCTCAGAGAAAGAAAAAAAAAAACGGCAAACCGATTTGAACCACACACAAGATGTGCAGCAGGGAGCATTTTACCATAGCGAAAATAAACGTCGGAAAAGGAAATAATGCCACCTGGGACTTTTAAGCATAATAAAAAAAAAAAACGAGCCGAAATTGAGTCTAAACAGCGGTGTGGAAAATTGAAAGGGCTGCCGTGGTAACCACACTTTCAGAATGCGTGGCTGTGTGTGCTATTCCCTACTGTGCGTGCTCAGGTATATTTAAAACATCATAGCATCGGCCCTCCTGTCTGAATGTCAATGGCGGCTGGTTCTCCTGCATGAAAAGGCCCAGGACTGGCTCCTCTGGGTGGAGGGAAGTGAGTTTGTGCAGTTTGTGCTCCTGACAGTTCCTCCGGCTCTCCCTGGACATGTGGAGCTCTGTAGCTCTGTCGAACAAGCGCGGGTGTCAGAGTCTTTAGGAGCCGGGGTTGCTTTTCACATCTTCCCTTTTGACCTCAACGGCCTCTCCATTCCCTGATATCTGCAGCTGTAAGCAGGTTGCCTGTTCTCTGTGGCACAGGGCTGGGATTTGGGGAAGGCCTATTGGCATTCTGGTTACAGTGACTAGTGGTGTGCAGAGAATTTCAAACCCTCCCCAGAAACCTCCAGACCATTTGATGAATCAATTGCTCCAGCCTCGTTATTCCTGTCACTTAACACGCCAGAACCTACTGTACCTCGCGCCGCTTATTTAAAAGGCTCCCCTGTGCGCCAGCCCTCCGAGCTTCACCTTTCCATTGATCTCAGGTTCAGTAGCACTTTGTTTTAGTCACAATTAGACATGTGTTGAGCATGCGTTTCTGTCTGGCTTCACTTAATCAGCTCCTGCATATCTACCAGGGAAATCCGCTGTCAGGCACTTTGTTTCAGTGCAGACGAGGCGCTAATTAAATGCTGTTTGCTTATTCCCACATGGGGTTATTGTTGCGCTTTTCGTATCATAATAAAGCACACCTGTTTTCATTCACAGCTCCTTCCATTGCATGTCGGCTAGGAAACTGCAGGCTTTTGCTTACACGTGCAGACCCTCAGGACGTATTCAATTCATATAATTTATTAAAGACAAAATCCATATCCTGTATATAACAAAAAATAAATCGGAAACCCCTTCTTCCGTCTCTTTTCTGTGTCTGTAATGCAGTTCCAGGCAGTTGCTTGCTGCTTGGCGGTGACAGCAGGGCCCCAGCCAGGTGACAGCAGGGACGTGGGGAGACCGGTGCCAGGGCTGACCGGACTGGGCTGGAGTGGGGAATTAGCAGACTAGGCGGGCAGCCACCGCAGCATGCAGTATCTGTGCAGGTAAAGAGATCGATATCGACGCCGGAGTCACTCGACAGATCTGTGGCTAATGAGGTGTAAAGATTTGTACACCTCAGCCAGGTGCCTGAAATGGGAAAGTGGAGTCCTGTAATGTGATATCTGTGCCAATTCTGCCTCGGGACGTCTCTCTCTCCGTTGCCTGTTCAATAGGCAGTGGTGAACTATCCACATTAGAGGCTTATTTTAAAATGGCAAGTAAAGCACAACCTACCTTATTATATCTGCTATTTATTGAGCACTCCTGCAGATGCATTGACATATTTCCCAAACCTGGGCCCTAAATTCAAATAAGTGGATTGTTTTTCACCCAATATTCTGAATGTTTTTTTGTACTTAACTGTGTCACAAATTCCAGCCCAAAGGGGATAATGAAGGAGAGCATGTCCTTCTTGGTCAATCAACACCCCACTGGTTAGTTCCAGGTAGAGCACATGGACCTGTTCACCATTATTTATCTGGAATAGAAAATCATTTCTCTTTTTAGTGCGCCTGCCCTTCCCCCAACATACAGACACCAGTAGTTAATCACAGACCCACCATGTGAAACACTGTTGAGCCCCACAGCAGAACCAGTGTCAGATAGAAGGGTGTTCTCAAACATAACGTCAATATTAGTGTTGACAAGCAACACTGTGCCGTAGGAGGGTCCATTCTTTGGAAGTTCTGGCAAACCAACGTCCTGTTGATGTGGTTGTTAGAGATCCAAAGAAACCTACATGAGAGTAGAGGTGTTAAATCACAGGCATCCCAGAGGTTCCCCCTTCAATTCAAGGGATCAGCTGAGCAGTGGGGCTGCTGGTGCGGAATGGCTGTACGTCACCCAGGTGGGGCTGCACTCCAGTGATGGATGAAGAGAGTGCCCCTCCTCTCTGGGAAGTGTTTTGGGATCCTTTGAGACCAAACACTCTATATAAATGCAAAGTATTACTGTTAAGGGAGCATCAGAGACAATTTTAGGATAATGAAAGAAAGATGCTCCTTTTAAACCTTTGATTTAACTTACTCTGCAGTACATGCCCATTCAGACATTTTCCCCCCAACATACTATTATTGTCAAGAAAAATATATATCACTATATATGATAATATATTCATGCCTCCTAACCCTGTACAGGGCTTGTCTTCAGAGGCCGCCTGACTGTCAGACTCACTGTGTCTGTGCTGTCTCTCTGTCACTCTTCCCTCCTGTCTCTCTGGGGACCAGGCTACTCGTCTCACTGTCTAGGGCAGCTTACTCAGGTTTTTGCCGTCTGTAAGGAGATGCAGTTCGGGTCTGTAACTCAATGCCGGGGACATATCGAAAGTAATTAAAAATGACACACACACACACATCCCACAGACACACAAATAACCAAATCAATCACATGTGAAAAAGATACTTTTTTTTCTGTCAGCTCTACTCCTGCTCCTAGATGAAAAGGCTTCCCTCCAGTCCTCGAGACCTGAGACGGCTCAGGCTCAGTCTTTCCACTTTAGCTCTTAGCTAATAGCAGAACTAAGTATTGGCCCCAGTTTAACTCTTCCCAAAGAGGATTTACAGCGATCTTCAAACGGTGTGCTAGCCCGTGAGCCTGTGGCACTCGCATCGAACTCCCAGGCTTAGACAGCGGGGAGTCTCGTGGCTTTGTGCATTACACTCCACCTGTTTGCCCTTTTACAACACCGTAGGGACTTCAAAATCAAATACGCGTGGTCAGACACATACAAGGTCAATCCCACTCTCGCAGACACGCCTCCCTCTCTTTCCTTCCGTGCAACCAGGGCCACACTGAGGGCCCCGGGGCCACCAGGGGGCCCCCCTCAATGTGCAGCGCAACATTATTTTTTTAATGTGGCACGGGCAAACAATTCCCTCCAGTGGCTCTTCCTGTTGCTGGTGTGCCGATCCACGCTATTACTGTAAGATGTGTGAGTTAGAAAGAATAACATCAGCTGTTATCAGCTGTGAATGTGAGTGCAGCGGGTTATTTCACTGTCGATGTAGGAAGTGACTCTCGTCTTCGTCGGAAGACGGTGTAAAGAGGAGGTTTAGCTGCTGCCACAACGTTTGCTGTTTATTTAATTTTCGTGGAAGCGGTAAATGTGGTGGTGATCACTTTGAGTAATCTTTCATTATATCTAACAGGTAGTTAAATAATTACAAGTGACCTTTGACTTGCGTCGCAAACTCTGTTGTAGTGGTTTAAAAATGAAAACTGTGCAGTTGCGAATGATAAAGGAAGAGCAGAAAAGAGGAGGAGGATAAGTGATCTCGAAAATCAAGTCACTGTAACAAAGCCTTTGCATTTCATTTGGTTCTAAGTCTGAAAGATCATTGTAACCAGTGAATGGTAAACAAGGTTAATTCTTAATTCAAGGTTGATTCAGGGCAATTCTGTGCACATTTTCCAGCTAGACACTTGAGGTGTTTTCACTAGAAGTAAGTAGTCACGTTTCATGTTCTTGCTTTCAACGTTGAACGTTGCTTTCAACGTTGTGAAATGTGTGATTCTTGTTCTTGTTTGCAAGCTGTTTTTGTATGCGCTCTTTGAAGCTGGTTAAGAAAGGGCATCCAATTATATAATTCATTTCTTTAATTGTTCTAAATAGTAAACTAGGTTTGGGGTGGGAGCTGATAATAGCAGTGTGATCCTGCCTGGGGCCCCCGAAACTCTAGGGTTGGCCCGGAGTGCCACCATGCGCTCGCGACCCGCCTTGCTCACCGCCTGCTGTCCCAGAGATCGCAGAAAGCATGTGAGGGTCACGCACACGCTCAGACACTCACAAACAATGGCTGAGTCCGTGCATCTCCCACCACTTCCTCCCAGCCCAGAGGTTAAACAAACAGCACTTACAGTATCATCCGCAGGCACGCAGACCTGTCCTATTTTTCTCCGCCATCAGAGCCGCAACTGTCGCCGCGTCGCCCCCCCTTCTCAGTAGCCCTCGCAGAGAAGGACTCCCTCTGTCGCAGGCCTCTGCAGACTGCATTAGCTCTCCCAGCTGCTCCACTGGTTTCACACTACATTTCCCCTCAATCGTTTAACACGCTATTGAGTCTCGGAGAGAGTTGTCCGCACGAGCTGGTAATTTGATTTTGAGTGATGTTTGTGTCATTACATCGCTTCAAAGTCAGCAGCAACAACATATTAATAAGATGCATTTAGACTTGTACTCCAAAAGTTGCTGAGACAAAGCCTGCCGCCGCTGCCTGTCACAGGCCCGCCTGTCACAGGAGCGTCCCACTGCTGACTGAGGATAAAGCTAGGACACCCTCCTCCACAGCTCGCTGGGAAAAGCGCTTGGAGGGAGCTGTTACAGGCGAGAAAAGACATATTCATGTAAATGAAAGCTGCTGCCCGGCTGGTTTAGTTTCTATTTAGGAGTCTGTGCACCACAGGTTTGGCGGACGGCTTTCTGGAGTCTCATTTTCAAATTGCCATCTGAAAAAGAAAGCAAATTCTGTGGCGAGGCCAACGACAGGGAAGGGAGAGATGTTAGCCTCGAACGCGGAGATCTCGCCGCCTTCCTGAGTGGCTCAACTGGTCCAAGTGCAGGTCGGGCAGTATGGTGAAGGGTTCGGTCCTGGGGTCACATTACCAGCCAACTGTGACTGGGATTCGCCACGCAGCAGCTCCTGCCCACTTGGGGATACCTGGTCACAGTGTGTGGGAAGGGATTCATCATTCACACCACAGACGCTGCACCATGGCTTCTGTTCTTCACTTGTTGAGATACAGTTTTGCCTTTAGTTTTATTAGGAAGCCCTTACCAATCAAGGCCTCCTTATAATCCCCATCTATGAATTGGCTTCATTACTCTCTGCTCTCCTCCCCTGATAGCTGGTGTGTGGGGAGCGTTCTGGCGCACTATGGCTGCCGTCGCATCATCCAGGTGGGGCTGCACATTGCTGGTGGTGAAGGGGAGACCCCATTACCTGTAAAGCGCTTTGAGTGGAGTGTCCAGAAAAGCGCTATATAAGTGTAAGCAATTATTATTATCATTATTATTTAGGTAGGAGTTCTGTGATTTACTGACTTTGCCTCTCTCACTCTCCCTCATTTTGCAAACTGGGGAGCTGCTGGGCTGGTCGTGAAGATTCAGATGCCATCCCACAAGGCGTACAGACCAACTGAAAGGCTCATCTGCCTGTCCACGTACAGGCAGAACTGTGTGTGCAAGACTCATTGCGATCAGTGGGTCCCGATCATCCGGTTCCTACTGAACGACCCATTCTTCCTGTATCCCTCATGCTCCCTCCCCCTTCCTGCCCCAGCTGGAGGCCCAGTCTCTCAGTCAGAGCCCTGCGTGTGAGAAGACAAGGAGGGCATGTGTGTTCTCAGAACTGCATCCACACAAGTCTGCAGTGGACTCAGGAGGGTCTTCTGAGCCCAGAGGTCAGAGCAGAAGACAGCCCTGAGGTACGGGCGAAAAACAGGCAGCACCCTGAAGACACCACTGCATCAATTGCTCTTCTTTTACAAACAAACTTCTTGTCAAGTCATGCACAATAACACAGTCCTGTTTTCTTTTCAGCTGAAAAACAAGGCTCTATGTTTATAAAGGCAATATTCAGGAATTCACTTGTTTTTATTAGATTCAAATTACACCAAATTCTCTCTTCTGGAGAGTACAGCTTTTTATGTAATTATTTGGGCAAAAAAGACATTGTCAAGAATTCGACCGTAGAAACCTAACTGGGTTTTGAACCTGTGTCTCCCCATTCTGATGTGCAGAGGCTGCTTTTATGAAATTTCCCTTTTTCACTGGTATGCTTAAATGAGAGGGAAATATTCAAATGCAGAGGTTTAGAGGCACGCTCTGCCTGGCAGGTTTGTGCTTCAGTGATTTGCTCAACACTGTCAGCTCTGGAATATCCAAGGCTGAAAGCTCCCATGTCTCTCTGGTTTCCAAGCTGAGGTTAGTCAGGTGCAAGAGCCTTGCTGGTTTCCATGGAGATGCTGCGTCCCAGATCAGAGGAGGCACATTCTGAGAGTTCTGGCACCTCAAGTGTCAGAGTTGCCAATTCTGAGCCACTCAGTGCGAGACTGAAGTGTTTTAAAGTAATTCTCGTCAGAAGGAGCACAGAGCCGACTGGTGCGCTCAGTGTTCTCTGGCCTTCACCGTGACGGAACATTGCATAAACAGTCAAATCGATAAGTGCGCCAGGCCTGCATCATGAGGAAACTAGCCATGTTGTGTAAAAAAGGCACAAATCTGGAAAACACAGACAAGTAGAAAATGCAGGGACTTGCTTCCTTTGAGAGAACTCCAAAATGCGGGTAAGCCTTTATCTCAAAGAAAACAGAACCTATAATATACAGCACAGTATATCCATTGTATCATATGTATATTTCAGGTTATGTACGTTATATAAACTGTATTTATTACAGTGTGAGTAACCTCAAGAAGAATATTCAAGATTAGATCTTGTTAATGTTATTAATCTTACTGGCAAGCTCTAAAAGATTAGATTAGTCAACATTATTGTCTTTATTAGACTCACAGGTGAGAGCTTACGAAATCTAGCTCTTACAAAATCACAGGTCAGAGCTTATTAAACCTCTGCAGGGACGGTTTAGGGTGAAACCACAATGGCAGATCAGCGAGAGCAGTTCAAGCCCAGTGCGTGCGAGTGGGTGCCATGGTGCTGTGAGGAGAGGGAGGGCGTGAGAGACAGTGGGCAAGCTTCTTCTCTGCCCTCGCTGTGCTCACACACACACACACAGATAAGGCTGGAGATGCCCGCAATGTGCCCGTCCCACTCCCCAACTGCCAGCTGACTGGCAGCTCACCTCCTCATCTGCTGTGACAGAGCAGGCAGCGATCACTAATTTAATTATGCGTTTACTCCATATGTGACACCACCGCAGTGTAGCTCAGATTGGTCCTCCCCTACTGAATTCCTTAAATCCTGGGGAACCATTTTTTTTTTTGTGAGGCACTGTGTATCATACAGCATGGTGAGGGTGTTCTGTTTAGTGGCAGACTAGTATCAGTGCAACAGGTAAACAAAATCAGTGATTCTGGAGCTTTTACACCTGTGAACTCTCCGCTTTGTAGCTGAAAGTCAGATCCAGGAATGCAGAACTTGCTTTGGTTCCACAAAATCGTACCAGTAATGAAGTGGTAGCACAAAATAAAGAGAGAGAGAGTTTCTTGCTGGTGTAGTCACCCCTGGCCCAGCGTTAGGGTTAGGGTTATTTCGTCCTTGGGTTTTCATGGCAGCGTGTGACAAAATCCACGCGAGTTTGACATCTGACTTTGGGGGAGCTTGTACTCTTTCCTCTCTTTTAAACGTCCATCATTTCTGTCCGCCAGCACCAGAGGCCAGGCGAGCTTGACGAGGCACCCCATGCCTGAGTCATCAATTACGGGGAGATAAACGCTGTCTGGCTGATCCCCATGAGTGGAAGAAATTAAATCAAGTGAAGTCGAGAAAGGAACAAGTTCACGACTCAGTGGCACACAAATTCCACCCTTTCCTCCTGTGCTGTCTGCTCCTCATTATAAAAGTTTTCTTTCCTAACTCTTCTGGTAAAAGTTTGACAATTGATGCACTATGACTACAATCTGATCATCGTGTTATATCATTGTGTCCGTGCCGTTTGTCCAAAAAGCCAGAATTCCTAGCTGCGGTTTCAAAGAGGCAGCAGTTACCCAGGGAAGGTGACAGGATTGTGGGAAAGAGGGGGGTAGGGAGGGAGACAGAGACACATTAGGAACAAAGCCACTGAACAGAAGTTGATCTTCTCACCACTCAGTGCACACAGACCCTGGCTATGACCCCTAACAAGCTGAGTATTGGCATGTGTCTATAAAGAGATTTTCCACATGGGTGGAGTGTGTGCTTCCTGAAAGCATCTATTTGTGGGCATCATATAACTTCTACCCTCACAAAATGGACAACCAATACAGACTTTATAGTCACGGACTTTTCAAATGCACTCCTGCTCTATATCACTCTCCCATAACTGTGTGCCTTGAAGTAGAGACCATCAGTGTGATTTCTGTGTATTACCAAGCCATACATATGCAATACATTAGATTTTGTAATAATTTACTGAAACACTTTTTTCTCCCATTACATAAATTACAACGCATTGGCCGCAATTCCCTGCCAAACAGTACTTGTGAAGTGTGATTTAGGGCCACTGAGGAGTCCAGGGATCTTCAACCCTGCTCCTGAACACCCAGTGCAAGAGGTTTTGTACTGTGGGTCTCCATTAAATCATCAGCTTCCAAAGACCAGGAGCAGTGTAACTGTGACCAGTTAAACAGGCGATTTGTTAAATTGTATCTGAAGATCCTACAGCCCTTGAGTATGACAGTTCCCTTAACTGAAAAAATATATGTTGATTCATGGATCAATAACTTACAAGTATTGCTAAGCTTTCAATACAGGTGACCTCTAAGACTGAACTGGCACTCTCCAGAATGTGGGATGGAAATCCCTGTTCTAGTTTAACATAGTGCAAAACAGCCAGATTGTACCAAACCCACCAACTGCAAAACCCTGCAGAGGTGTCTAAATATCCGCAGTCTGTGTGCACCAGCTTCATGTTGGGGTTTGGCTTAGTTTTGGCTCTTCATTTTGTCTCTGGTTATGCATGGCGGCTGGGGTATATTATTTAATCCATCTACCCTGCCTTGCTGAAAGGAGGAGACTGGGCTGAAAAGGGTGTTTTTCTGTGTCCATCTTCAGTGTCTTTTCATGGTTTTAATACGCCTCGATCTCGGTGGTGGAGCAGCGGTGAGGACAATAAGCCCCCTGGAAAAACACAGCTGTTCTCGTTGCTGTAGCAGCTGGGTGCAATTTTTTCTTAATGAAATTTCAAGGCAGTGGTCGCGTTTCCCTGCTCTTTCTGCGGGCACTGAAGATCTCCTGGAATGTGAGCCTTTACCCAATGACAAAGATACAGAAGTTGAGGCAAATGCCTGTCCTGGAGAAAGACAGAACATCTTTGCTCCACAGGTAGATTCATACCAAGTTGGCTGCAAATGTTGAGCACACGTCAAAGATGTAGTAACTGTCTCTCTTATTTCAGTGAGACTAAGCCGTGATCATGAAGCTAAAAAAATAAATCAATATCCACATCTGAATTGATATTTTTTTCTTTAGTTTCCAAACTAGATTCAGATCTAGATTTGTTTTAAACCAGCAGTCTGGAGCCAGCTTGTCCGCAGACATAACTCGGGACAAGACGCTGCCATTCAGATCACATTCCTCAACCGGTGAGCGCCAGACCTGGTTCAGAACAAATTTTAAATCCGAGGAGTTAATATTCTGGTGAGGAACGAGGAACGAATGAATGATTCAGACGGGGAACTGACACAGCTGGGAGGTGTAAGTAGAGCTGATCAGTGCTGAAAGAAGTGCAGCAGGTTTCAGCACTCAGTGTAGTGAGGAGTCCATGAAATGAGCTACTGTAATGTGTACAAGGTAGATCCACAACTGCAGAGGATGGGCGGAATTTCAAGATGGGGCTGTGATGGGATACGACTTGTCTTCTACCATGAAGGTGTCATTTTATAACCTGCCGGCAGACAGACCTGCAGGGAACGGTAGAAGGTCAAGTTTTATAACACGCCGAGTTTCATCTGTTTTTTTTTTCCCCTCTTCGATCTCTCCCTTTTTGTTCTTATTTTGTGATGTGCCGCGAGGTCCCGGGGGAAATCCAGAACAATCTTGTACATCCTCCCTCGCTCAGGTTTCCATGGCGAAACCCAGATGGACTCAGCCTTCGGCAAGCTCCTCTCCAAGTTGTGCGAGTGTCCATGCGTGCTTGGGCGTGCGAGCGTGTTAACAGATAATGGAAGTCTGTGCTGCTCAGTTGAAAGACACGTTTTCTCTTCATTCCCAAGTGTATTTCTATCAGAAGCCATTTATTTGGCTGTGTTTCGTACGCAGGCAGTAAATGCCTGTTTGAATATACTGATGGATTCAATTTGTGATCCTTCTTAAGAGGGCCTACCAGGAAAAACAGAGTCTTCTAATCCCCGTTTCCCACAGAGGGCTCGCTCCAAACTCATTTTGCCAGCGTGGCAGTGTGACTGCGCTGGAGCTCACACCTCTGCTGGAAAAACGTTGAATTATCCCCCCCCTCCTTCATCTCCGTGTCTCGTCACGGATGATCGTTGAGGTGCAGAATTATGTAAATGCAGCGAATTGTGAGTCAGCACAGCTATTGTTTGGGATTACATTCCTGTCTGTGTCGCTATCATGTGCGTGGCACCGCTCCTTTATTAATATGCCGAAAAAAGCCCAGTGAGGCACCTGGAAATACATCGCAGCTCATAGATCCTCCTGTCACATCCTCGGGAATGTTTTCTCAGCAGATAGCGCTGGTTCAGCTCAGAGAGCTCGTACTAATACCTTCTTTGCAGTCAGCCATAACTGCAATAACAAGCTGACAATGGGAGAATGGTTTTTGAACCTTACTAACTTTGCGGGGTTTTTCGTCATTGTAATGGACACAAGGAAACAGCAGTTTCATTTTTAGTTATATCACCGCAAGGCTCGGGAGGACACAGAAGGAGACATAAGAGCAGTTTTAAACGAGAGGGGGGCCTTTAGTTCTGTCTAGCCCCTTTGGTAGTTAGTAGCTAAGTGATCCCAGGGTCTCAGTCAGCCGTTTCTTGAAAGAAGCCCAACGAACGCGTGTCTCTCCTGTGACGCTAAGCTCTCATGACTGACTCTACCATCTTCAAACATTAAAGCACAGGATATTGACAGCTTTGACACTGCCTGGTTTAGGCCTGTACTAGCCCTTGTTCCAGGCAGAGGGCCAGATTGCCTGTGCTGTATCTTCCTTTTGCGAACGTCATAAGGAGGGACGATTCAGGTTGTCTGACAAATGAGTGCGGATGGGACTTTCTCGATGCATGACCTGCACATGTATCTGTCACTCTCTCAGTCCAGCTGTGCGTGTATCTACCTTTATCACTTCATGTGAC